TTACCGTTGGATGACGGTTTTTAAGCTAAGATTATAAACGATTTCAGATATGGTTTTCTTACCAGCGGTCCTAAAGAGCAGAGAAGGAAAGAGGTCTCACGAGTGGCTGAGCCTCGTTTTGAAGATTATTCTGCGCATGCGTTTTTGCGATGTATCTCAACCCGCCATTTTTAGTCGCCATTTTGAAAGTTTGTTTTATGGGCGATAAAGAGAGAAAAATTCTTAGATCTTTTTGGTTTTCTACCAAGAAGAAGACCTGTTTTCTTTGCAAATGAACCAAGGAGAAAGGGGAGAAGAAACAAATAGAGAGGAGTGGATGAGTAAGCTAACAGACATGCGATTTCAGAGGGCCGATATGAATCGTTTGATTATGGATTACCTCGTAACAGAGGGCTTTAAAGAAGCTGCTGAAAAATTCAAAATGGAATCTGGTACACAACCTTGTGTTCCTCTTGACAATCTAGATGAAAGGATCAAAATAAGAGCTGCTGTTCAACGCGGAGATATAGAAGAAGCCATCGCCTTAACGAACAAGCTAAACCCTGAAATTTTGGACTGTAAGCCTCACCTATACTTCCATCTGCAACAACAACGACTAATCGAGTTAATTCGTGAAAAAGATATTGAATCAGCCGTTGACTTCGCACAGAACCAGCTCGCTGAACAGGGTAATGAATCGCCAGAGTTTCTAGAGGAGTTAGAACGTACAATGGCTCTTCTAGCGTTTGATAACCCTGAGGATTCTCCCTTTGGGGAGCTGCTTTGCCCTTCTCAAAGGCAAAAAGTTGCCAGTGAATTGAATGCTGCTATCCTAGAAGCTGAACACAGAGAAACATCTCCTAAACTCTCTAATTTACTTAAGTTGTTATTGTGGGCACAAACAGAACTGGATACAAAGAAAGCAAAGTTCCCCAAAATGGTAGATGTAGCTAGTGGAACATTTGTTTAAATTTTGGGTTAACTTTTTATTGTAGATTATGCCTAAATCCTAGGTTGTAAATACTTCATGCACTTATTTTTTTGTGTCTGCATCAGCGTATGAAAACATTAAGGAAGGAGCAATGTTGAAATACATTGTTATTTACCACTTTTTAGGAGCAACTACAGAATACAGGGCCGTATTGTAAGGTCTTCAACAGAAGTTGCTCATTGGCTCACCAGTCATTCCAAGCATTTAACTCATTTGCCCCTGGAGCCACCACAACAAATATACATAGAGAATTGGCCTTGTATTATATAGTTGTCCCTCACATCATTGAAATTAATTATTTCTGTAAAATAAGGTAAACTGAAATGAAAGGATTGATGCCCATTCAGCAGGTTGCATATTGAAGGGGTGGATTGAATAATAGCTAGAGTGGCTCCTTGGGTGCATACCATTTATGCAAACCACCTGGGTGGAAATCTTGTGCATAAAACTATAAAATTTGGGGTAGTGGGAAAATGACCTGCTACAAATGTATATCCAAATCAGCTGAACAGACTGAAATGAGTAGAAAAATTTCATCCTCTCAAATCGTAGTACATGCTTTCTGTAGCTCCCTACATAGGATGGTGCAAACCATCTGACTTTCCAATGGTGTAACGTTCCCCTGATCTAATGCCAAATTCTCGCTTTGGCTCACAAATGTAACAGAGCAAATTGGAAAGAGAGTCTAGCTAGGTAACCCATCAATCTGTGACCATGTATTTCACAGTCTAGGGCTAGGGTTAGGAAAAAACAACTCTTTGTGATAACAGAATTCAGGGTGCGTTTGTCTTTGCAGAACAAAGCATGAAACAACAATAATTGTTGCCATTTAACAGAGTAGCAATGTAATTGGTTGTATTTTGATCATGTAATAATATATTATATATCTGAATAAAAAAGGAAAGATGGTTGTGTGTTACATGTGCATCACATTTGCTGCAGTTTGATTGGATATATTTTTTAAAGGCCCTGATTAGAGTACTGTAGTTGCATTGTAATAGAACTGTTAATTCATGCGTTGCTTTAAATTCAGTGTAACCAGGCCCAAAGTGTCAATGCCTTCTTTTATTCATGTGTGCTAAAGGAAATAGGTGTCAGTATTGATAATCAGTAGTATTAATTTTGGTGGCCTGGTGCCCATTTCTCGAAAGTCCCGGTAATAGCTGATAGTTTTATCACGTTAGATGCAAAACTATTGAAACCTTGATCTTTAATGTAAACGGACACAGCTTACCGGGCCCGTTAATTATCGGGACTTTCGAGAAACGGGGCCCCTTGACTTGTTTGCAGGGTTTTCTTTAAGGTTTTAAGTAGCCGGAGTTTTTTGAAAAGTAGACGGTTGTGGGTCCGGAGGACCCATACGATGGGCTTTAGGAAAAGGATCATTTGATCATTTGAAAACTGAACGCTGGAAAATGCATTTCAAATTTATATTTTTATTGAGCCCAAGTTTAGACCTGATAAACATCATCTCCTCGACATATCTTGACTCTTGAAGTAATGGAAGTAGCCAGCGAAATCTTGAAGAGAAGCCGGCGAACTTCGCCGGCTACCGGCTCTTCTATACAACCCTGTGTTTGTTTTATGTGTACATTTTTAAGTAAGGTAAAGTTAAAAGTGGGCGCACATGAGTCAAAGGCCCAATCGGTCAGAGCTTATCCTAGTTTCTTCAAAATGAAGCATGCCTGGGGGTATTGCTACTCCCCCCTGGATGGGATGCTAAGTAAAGTTCCTTGTCTAGGGGAACAACGTGATGGGCAAGGCTTGAACCCCAGTCCTCCAGATCTGCAGTTCGAGGTGTTAATTGCTAGGCCACACACAAAACCCAAAAATTTAAAACTGACCAACCACAAAGGCGATTAGATGTTGCTTCAGTGTAATAATAGAAAGGCAGGTGATTGCTCTATTCTTTTGCTTCTACTAATGACTTCAGCAACCTAGTATCCACTAGATTGTTTGTGGTGGAGTTATAAGTGAGGCCCTGTAATGGTTAATGCCAACAAGCAACATGGCCTTGAAACAGTGACATAGGACAGCAGAAATGGTGACAAACAACACAAAGATGGGTTGAAAATGCGACAGCGATAAAGAAAAAATACATTATAGTGAAATACTAGCAGCAAGATGGCTTCCTCCTCAATATGTGAAACGACAGATTTTAAAATTCAGACTAGGGACAAATGTAACTCCTTAAGAGGGCCTCAAAAGTGGGACTGGAAGAAAATAGAAACATTCTCTCTCTTGCAACTCTTTTAGAGAGGCAGCATGACCAAGTGGTCAGCGTGTTGGACTCGCACTCCAGTGATCCCTGGTTTAAGTTCTTCTCTGGTAACTTGCTGGAATTGTTCTTGGTCGTCCTAAGTTCAAATCTGCAGCCATCCTTGTAAATAGCCAACTGGCTGCCTCCTTGGCCTTTTCCTTCCCAGGAACTTGCACACGAAAGGGTTAAAAGAGTGATTTATGAGACAGTATCAAGGATGTGCTCTAAAAAAATTGAAGGGAGGCCAGTGCTCTGAACTGGTGAAATCCAGAGCAGCTTATGATTGCTATGCTAGTCACCCAAGAGCAATAATTATTAGGAGCATGGGCCACTGGGCGCTGCTAAAGCACAGCCTTGAGTATTATAGTGCTGAGAACAAAATTAATATGCAAAATTTGCCTACCTCAGCGACAGATCTCAAGCTTCTCTGAAACTTCAGTTGGTTCACACCTTGGTTGGTGGGTTTACCAAAAGTGGCACCCTTGGGTACTGGACGCTTGCGTCCACCACGCCTCACACGAACGCGGTAAATAACATATCCTTGCTTAGCTTTGTATCCTAAGCGACGTGCTTTGTCAGGGCGTGTGGGTCGAGATGCTCTATGGATAGCATTGAGTTGGCGAAATTGCCAGCATCGCACACGCAGCATAAAACGCAGAAGATCTGACTGTTTTTTCTTAAAGAGCTCCTCAAGGTACTTATATGCTCCCATGCTTTACCACAGGTCAGCTGAAAGAATAAAATTATGTGGAATTCAGTCACTGGCATTCAGCATGTATCAATACAGCACAGGATCAACAACACCTCCAGAAACAAAGGATTCTGTGTTTAATATGCACCTCAAATTTTGAAACAAGTTTTGGTAAAAAAAGTGCTTTTATTCAGGGGTAAAAACACCAAGTGTGCATATATAGATGATATTACATGGCCACGTGGAGATATGAAATTTCTCAGAGAGCGTTGAAAAATATTTAATCCGTGAGTGCAGCAATTGAAATATTTTTCAACATGAGAAGAGAAATTTCGTATCTCCAAGCGGCCACAAAACATTCTATTTATCATATAAACACCAATGAAATACCAAACTTTTTCACTTTGATAGTTTTTTGCGGTGAAAGGTGTGAATTAGTATGTGGCCATAACAATGGTGATCTTTTCACATGTGAAGATAATATGCTTTCCCAGGAAAGCTCACCCAGTATTTCATTGGCATTTATATAATAAGGTTAGATTCTTTCTGTAAAATGAGGCACCGCTGAGTAGCAAAAGCCATAAAGTACCAGTCAATTTCAAACCTGTCTTATATCATCATCATCATCAACAACAAAAACATCATCACATATGAACACATTTTAAGTTGCCATCGTATGATTATTTCTAAGTGCTTCACTAAAATAAAATCATTCTGTCTTCACATGGGAGAAAGCCAATAAAGGCAATTTCTGACGATTTCTGACGGGGGGTGGGGGGGCACATATTCTGCACTTTAAACTTTACTTTTCTGAAGGGGTAAATTTGTAAAGGCTTTCAGGGTCGAGCCAGCACACAGTGGCGTCTGATGCCTTACTTGGCTCCAGCCGACAAAGAAATCTTAGCTTGTTCGTATAGACGTAACAAAAGGCTACGCGGTGAGCGTGGCTATGTACAAAAAATTCCGCGACAGACTTAAAATAACTAGCCATCGACAGAAAACTGAAAGTCAACACCTTACAACTAAACTAGATCTCATTCGTTCCACAGTCAAACAAACACATTAGTCAATGTCCATAAAACGAATTTGTGGTAAGAAAATAACTTTTAGGAAAAGGAAAATTGTCAAAGTAATAGTGAAACCGTAGTTTACCGTTGGATGACGGTTTTTAAGCTAAGATTATAAACGATTTCAGATATGGTTTTCTTACCAGCGGTCCTAAAGAGCAGAGAAGGAAAGAGGTCTCACGAGTGGCTGAGCCTCGTTTTGAAGATTATTCTGCGCATGCGTTTTTGCGATGTATCTCAACCCGCCATTTTTAGTCGCCATTTTGAAAGTTTGTTTTATGGGCGATAAAGAGAGAAAAATTCTTAGATCTTTTTGGTTTTCTACCAAGAAGAAGACCTGTTTTCTTTGCAAATGAACCAAGGAGAAAGGGGAGAAGAAACAAATAGAGAGGAGTGGATGAGTAAGCTAACAGACATGCGATTTCAGAGGGCCGATATGAATCGTTTGATTATGGATTACCTCGTAACAGAGGGGTTTAAAGAAGCTGCTGAAAAATTCAAAATGGAATCTGGTACACAACCTTGTGTTCCTCTTGACAATCTAGATGAAAGGATCAAAATAAGAGCTGCTGTTCAACGCGGAGATATAGAAGAAGCCATCGCCTTAACGAACAAGCTAAACCCTGAAATTTTGGACTGTAAGCCTCACCTATACTTCCATTTGCAACAACAACGACTAATCGAGTTAATTCGTGAAAAAGATATTGAATCAGCCGTTGACTTCGCACAGAACCAGCTCGCTGAACAGGGTAATGAATCGCCAGAGTTTCTAGAGGAGTTAGAACGTACAATGGCTCTTCTAGCGTTTGATAACCCTGAGGATTCTCCCTTTGGGGAGCTGCTTTGCCCTTCTCAAAGGCAAAAAGTTGCCAGTGAATTGAATGCTGCTATCCTAGAAGCTGAACACAGAGAAACATCTCCTAAACTCTCTAATTTACTTAAGTTGTTATTGTGGGCACAAACAGAACTGGATACAAAGAAAGCAAAGTTCCCCAAAATGGTAGATGTAGCTAGTGGAACATTTGTTTAAATTTTGGGTTAACTTTTTATGGAAGATTATGCCTAACGAAGATGATGCATCTTAGGTTGTAAATACTTCATGCACTTATTTTTTGTGTGGACATTGGCGTATGAAAACATTAAGGAAGGAACAATGTTGAAATACATCGTTATTTACCTCTTTTTAGGAGCAACTACAGAATACAGGGCCATATTGTAATGTCTGCAACAGAAGTTGCTCATTGGCTCACCAGTCATTCCAAGCATTTAACCCATTTGCCCCTGGAGCCACCACAACAGATATACATAGAGAATTGGCCTTGTATTATATAGTTGTGCCTCACATCATTGAAATTAATTATTTCTGTAAAATAAGGTAAACTGAAATGAAAGGATTGATGGCCATTCAGCAGGTTGCACATTGAAGGGGTGCATTGAATAATACCTAGAGTGGCTCCTTGGGTGCGTACCATTTATGCAAACCACCTGGGTGGAAATCTTGTGCATAAACATAAAACTATAAAATTTGGGGTAGTGGGAAAATGACCTGCTACAAATGTATATCCAAATCAGCTGAACAGACTGAAATGAGTAGAAAAATTGCATCCTCTCAAATCGTAGTCCATGCTTTCTGTAGCTCCCTACATGGGATGGTGCAAACCATCTGACTTTCCAATTGTATAACGTTCCCCTGATCTAATGCCAAATTCTCGCTTTGGCTCACAAATGTACTAGAGCAAATTGGAAAGACAGTCTAGGTAACCCATCAATCTGTAGGAAAAAGCAACTCTTTGTGATTACAGAATTCAGGGTGCCTTTGTCTTTGCAGAACAAAGCATGAAACAACAATAATTGTTGCCATTTAACAGAGTAGCAATGGTAATTGGTTGTATTTTGATCATGTAATAATATATTATATATCTGAATAAAAAAGGAAAGATGGTTGTGTGTTACATGTGCATCACATTTGCTGTAGTCTGATTGGATATATTTTTTAAAGGCCCTGATTAGAGTACATTGTAATAGAACTGATAATTCAAGCTTTGCTTTAAATTCAGTGTAACCAGGCCCAAAGTGTCAATGCCTTCTTTTATTCATGTGTGCTAAAGGAAATAGGTGTCAGTATTGATAATCAGTAGTATTAATTTTGGTGGCCTGGGGCCCGTTTCTCGAAAGTCCCAGTAACTTTTCAGGCCCGAAATCAAATATTCAAATCGAAATATAACGAATAAGAGCGCGGGTCCTGGCAAGCAAACTACTCCATTTTGTTTCATTAACTGATAGTTGTATCACGTTAGATGCAAAATTATTGAAACCTCGATCTTAAATTTAAACAGAGACAGCTTACCGGGCCCGTTAATTATCAGGACTTTCAAGGAAAGGGGCCCCTCGACTTGTTTGCAGGGTTTTCTTTAAGGTTTTAAGTAACCGGAGTTTTTTGAAAAGTAGACGGTTGTGGGTCTGGAGGACCCATCAATGGGCTTTAAAAAAAGGATCATTTTGATCATTTGAAAACTGAACGCTGGAAAATGCATTTCAAATTTATATTTTTATTGAGCCCAAGTTTAGACCCGATAAACATCATCTCCTCGACATATCTTGACTCTTGAAGTAATGGAAGTAGCCAGCGAAATCTTGAAGAGAAGCCAGCGAACTTCGCCGGCTACCGGCTCTTTTATACAACCCTGTGTTTGTTTTATGTGTACATTTTTAAGTAAGGTAAAGTTAAAAATGGGCGCACATGAGTCAAAGGCCCAATCGGTCAGAACTTATCCTAGTTTCCTCAAAATGAAGCATGCCTGGGGGTATTGCTACTACCCCCTGGATGGGATGCTAAGTAAAGTTCCTTGTCTAGGGAAACGACGTGACAGGCAAGGCTTAAACCCCAGTCCTCCAGATCCGCAGTTCGAGGTGTTAACTGCTTGGCCACACACAAACTCAAAAATTTAAAACTGACCAACCACAAAGGCGATTAGATGTTGCTTCAGTGTAATAATAGAAAGGCGGGTGATTGCTTTATTCTTTTGCTTCTACTAATGACTTCAGCAACCTAGTATCCACTAGATTGTTTGTGGTGGAGTTATAAGTGAGGCCCTGTAACGGTTAATTCCAACAAGCAACATGGCCTTGAAACAGTGACATAGGACAGCAGAAATGGTGACAAACAACACAAAGATGGGTTGAAAATGCGAAAGCGATAAAGAAAAAATACATTATAGTGAAATACTAGCAGCAAGATGGCTTCCTCCTCAATATGTGAAACAGATTTTAAAATTCAGACTAGGGACATATGTAACTCCTTAAGAGGGCCTCAAAAGTGGGACTGGAAGAAAATAGAAACATTCTCTCTCTTGCAACTCTTTTAGAGAGGCAGCATGACCAAGTGCTCAGCGTGTTGGACTCGCACTCCAGTGATCCCTGGTTTAAGTTCTTCTCTGGTAACTTGCTGGAATTGTTCTTGGTCGTCCTAAGTTCAAATCTGCAGCCATCCTTGTAAATAGCCAACTGGCTGCCTCCT